GGATCTTGATGAGTTGATGTTTTTCGCTGAGGAACCAGCTACTTATGAAGAAGCAGTGACACAGAAAGCGTGGGAAGAGGCTATGCATAGGGAGTTTGAAGCCATTGAGAAGAACAACACATGGGCTCTCACAGAATTGCCACCTGGTCAAAAACCTATAGGATTGAAGTGGGTGTTTAAGCTGAAAAAGGATAGCAATGGAAACATTGTCAAACACAAAGCGAGGCTTGTGGCAAAAGGGTATGTGCAACGACAAGGGATTGATTTTGAAGAAGTGTTCGCGCCAGTAGCGAGACTTGACACGGTGCGGATGCTCATAGCCCTAGCTGCTCATCGCGGATGGGAAATTCACCATTTGGACGTCAAATCAGCATTTCTTAATGGTGATCTCCAAGAAGAGGTTTACGTTTCGCAGCCAGAAGGTTTCATCGTCCAAACTGAAGAGCAGAAAGTTTACAAACTGTCCAAGGCTCTCTATGGGCTACGTCAAGCACCGAGGGCGTGGAATATGCGCCTTGACAGAAGTTTGAAGAGTCTCGGGTTCTTAAAGTGTTCTCAAGAACAAGCGGTGTACACAAAAAGGCGTGGAGAAAACATAATCCTTATTGGCGTATATGTAGATGATCTAATCGTGACTGGATCAACTGTGGATGGCATAAAGCTGTTTAAGAATCAAATGATGCGAGAGTTTGAAATGAGTGACCTTGGTTTACTCTCATATTATCTCGGTATTGAGGTAATCCAGGAAAGTCGCTGCATTTCTCTGAAGCAATCGTTGTATGCAAAGAACCTTCTGCAACAGTTTGGGATGGCAGATTGCAACCCAAGCAAATATCCTATGGAAACAAAGTTGCAACTCGGAAAGAATGCTGAGGGAGTCCTAGTGGATCCTACTGAGTATAGGCGAATCATTGGGAGACTAAGGTATCTGACTCATACCCGTCCAGACATTTCACATGCAGTTGGAATGCTGAGTAGGTATATGGAAAAACCTACTACAATGCATTATGTGGCAGCCAAGCGCATCCTTCGTTATGTGAAGGGAACAATTAGCTACGGGATACGATACGAAAGAGGAAGCGGAACTGAGAAGCTGATTGGTTTCACAGATAGTGATTTAGCTGGAGATATAGATGACAGAAAAAGCACTGAAGGAATGGTGTTCTATCTTAATAACAATCTGATTACTTGGCAATCGCAGAAGCAGCAAACGGTGGCCTTATCTTCGTGTGAGGCTGAATACATGGCAGCAAGTGCAGCAGCATGTCAAGCTTTGTGGCTGAGGAGCTTGCTAAGTGAGGTAACTGGAAGCAAGCTAAATCCTGTGACTCTTTATGTTGACAACAGGTCAGCAATTGCATTAATGAAGAACCCGGTCTTCCACAAACGCAGCAAGCACATCGATACTCGTTTTCATTTCATCCGTGAGTGTGTTGAAAAGCGGCATATCATTGTCGAGTTTATTTCTACCAAGGAGCAGCGTGCTGATATCCTTACCAAAGCATTAGCAAAGGTTAAATTTGAAGAACTGCGGGAATTACTTGGAGTTTATAATCTAGAGCAAAGTCACGCTTAAGGGGGAGAATGTTAGTTTAAGCATGTTGACTTGTTCCACCTGCACTACCAGAATTATAGTCCTAAGTGGGTACGTGTGTATGGAATATGCCATACACATATTACAATTTGTTTTCTGTTATTCTATTTCCTAGAAGCTAGGCACGTGGAGTAGTTCTAGGAGTTGGTAGTTCTTAGTCTTTCTTATAAATAGGAGTGCAGTAGCATTTTCATTTGAATAACCCAATTATGTACTCTGTAGCTAGTTTCTACTCTTTCATTTAATCACAGATTGTTGTGTTCAATTGTTTCTTTGCTCTAAATTCTTCTCAATAGTTTCTGTAATAAAACCTACAGATCCTCGGTGTCCTCATTATTGGAGTCGGCATTTGGACGAGGGTCCACATTAATTCTTGCCTGAAGGACATTCGATCCGTCGGACTCGAGGGTGGTATCGTGATTGGATTTTTTGTGTTGGTGTTGGGCATTGTTGGTTGCATCGGATACGGGTGTGGTGAAGATGATGAGGCTGCTCCTCAGATCGGTTACGCCATCGCCATGCCTGTAGTATTAGTAGGCATGTTTGTGTTCATCATTATCCTCGTGGTGTACTCCAAATACTCGGGCCCCGCCAAGACCGCGCCGGACCGGGGTTACGTGGAATACTGTTTCCATTCATTCTATTCCGGGCTTCGCAGCAAGATTAGCAATGAGATCAAGTGGAACGGAATCACAACTTGCATGGGTATTGCCGACGGTCCGTGCGGTGACTTGAAGCGCTCTTCTTTCTCCTCGTCTCAACAGCTTTATGCTGCAAAACTCACCCCCTTACAGGTGATGATGCTATATATAGTACTAGCTAGTACTTAGTTACACAGTAATGATGCTGACCAACGGGAGGGACAAGATGCTCCGTCCGGCTTCCGCTGTTTGGGGCGGTTTCCGGTGAAATGTTTTGATAAAATTTGTATGAAATGTTCTTCATCAAGTCTAGTTTATCCTCATCAAAAATTTCCAGCTAAAAATTCAATCGGGAAGATCGTCATAATGTCAAATGATTTTTGGAAGATAATTGCGCCCAAAATATACATATAAAACACAATTGTCTTCCAAAAATTATTTGACGGTATTCCCGATTGAATTTTTAACTGATTTGTTTTGTGGATAAACTAGACTTGATGAGAAACATTCTCAAAAAAAAATCCCAAAAAATTCCACCGGGAATCGCCCCAAACGGCAGTGGCCGGACTGCGACTCCTGCCCGTCCGGGTGGACAAGATCTTTTTCCTATAATTATATAATATACTACGGAGTATCTTCCATTCTTTAATAGTTGCAACAGTTTGACTTTCATGTTCGCTAATATACAACTTTGATTGTAATTATATTTAACTGCGTATTACGAGTAGTAAACATTATATTATAAAAACTGATGTTTTGGAATTTCATATTAATAGGAATTTAATAACATTTTTATACCTAATATATAATTTGATCATGTATATTATTATAAAATCGCAATCAAAATAAGATTTGTGAATAATGCAAAAATCTCAATGTTGCAACAATTAAAGAACGGAGGAAGTATATTCGATCATATTTATTTCTTTATTTCTCTTCGTCTTCAACTTTAATTTACACGCCACAAATGTCGAATTAATTACTCAAATATTTGTTCCAACCGTGTCAAATTAGGTGAGACATGTTTTCACACAAACCTCGTACCTCGTCCTAATTAAACCATGAATTAATTACATAGTCCTAATTAATTAATTACGTAGTATGGTAGTATATTTTTCTTGAGTTGACATTTCATCTAGGGTTTTTGTCTTGAATATTACTAATAAAAGGGCAATAGGCAAAAAAGTGACCTTTTTAAAAAATTCCTGAAATGTGACTAATAAGTGACAAGCTTGCTTATATATACACACTGCTACAGTGACACGCTATAGTGACATGCTACAGTGACACGAGACACAGTGACATCCACCCTCCTTGCCACCACCTCCCACCGGTGACCATCGCCACCGCCGGAGACTGTCTCCAGCCATAGTGACAACGACCATAGTGACACAATAGTGACGTTGTCACTGCCTAGTGACACTGATTTTTCAGTGACGCCACCCGCCAAAAGTTACTCCGGCCGCTACCACCGCCCTGTCACTATGATCACCGGAAAATTTTCCGGCTCCTTGTCCGGCGCCACACCGCCAACAACAACTACTACGGCAGTCCCGTTGTCCAGCCCAAGCCGCCAAACTCTTCGTTCACCAACCCCCAGCCCTCAACCTCAAAACCTCCAACCAACGCCACCCCCAATGACCCACCAATGCTTTGACCTGCCCCCAACCCTAGCCTCAACCCTTTCCCCTGCCCCGCCCCAGCTCACTCCCCCATGCTTTGAGCTGCCCCCAGCCCTAGCCCTAACCCCCTCCCCTACCCCAATCCCCTCCCCTGCCCTCCCCAGCTCACTCCCCCAACTCCGGTTCCGAACAGCCCAACATCGACACACCCCTTCCCAGCCCCATGCACCTTCAATAGCCCAACCTAGCACATCCCTGACGAGCCTCCACCTCAGCCTAGCCGCCACCCACCCTAGATCTGGTTTGGTCGCTTTCTGGTTGCCACAGATCTGGTAATTCATCCATCCATCCGAGGCGAGGCAAGGCGGCCTGTGAAACGAAGCTGTACGGCGAGGCTACGATGAAATGAGGCAACCCGTGCGGTGAGGCAAGGCGGTTTGTACGGCGAGTGTAAGATGCGGCGACTGGCGAGGCTGAGGTAGTGACAGGGCCGGTCCTGAGAATATGTGGGCCCTGTGCAAAAATAAAATGTGGGCCTTTTCTAAAAGAAGTAGAAATATTTTATAAGTGAAGATTATATTTGTAATAATTTGCTATAATAATAATTTATATCAAAATATAAGCTATTCACTAACATAATGGTTAAAATAAAAATATTCCTTAACAAAGTACACTTCCATTTATTTGTTAAACTAAATTATAAATTAATAGACTAATAACCTAATATTTGAACTTGGTGATTCGCCAAGTTCAATTATTACAAACAATCCAAATATAATTATCTATGTACTAAAGCACTCAAACTTGAAATCAAAACCCAAAAAAGAATAATATAAGAATTGCAAAATATAAGAAATAAGATTATTACTCCATATTCTATAAAACAAATTAAAAGAGAATAATCAAATCTAAAATTAGACCGTTTATCATTCCATTAATTGGATAAAAGGGCATATCATATGGGTGTGTAGCTGGATTTTGGGGAAGAGCATTCAAGCTTCGAATTGAAAACGCCCAAATACGCTATGTTGTTAACCGGATATTGAGGCGACTCGGACAAGCAATCAATACCGGTCAACCCAGTCAACGTGTATCGAAAAAAGGAAGATAACACACACACACACACACACATATATATATATAAAAGATTAAAGGTTTATGATGAAAAATAACTCTCATTCAAAATTTATTAATGGTTATAAGAATAAATTAAAAATTAATGTATCACTATATAAAATAGTCATAAATTTAAGATGTTTTTGGAGTTAAATGGATAATTTATAAATATAATTGATAAACGCAATGATATTTCATAAATTGTAATGATTACAAATTAATATGAATAGTTATAGGTATAAAACCGACAATTGGAAGGTTGTTAACATAAACCGAATGGTGGAGTTGGCTCATAGAATGCGCGCATTGGAAAGTAGCCAGGGTTCGAAACCCCCTGACATCAAAATTTTTAATAAAGCTTGTGATTTAACTATTGGGCTCTTGAGTGGTACATATAGTAGGAGGACTACTAAAAATTGGGCCCTCCGAATTCATGGGCCCTGACATCAAAATTTTTAATAAAGCTTGTGATTTAACTGTTGGGCTCTTGAGTGGTACATATAGTAGGAGGACTACTAAAAATTGGGCCCTCCGAATTCATGGGCCCTGTGCGGTTGCACTGGTGGCACTTGCCTTGGGCCGGCTCTGGGTAGTGAGGAGCCGAGGTAGAGACGAGGCCGGAGGTTTGGCACAACAAGGAAGATGCGTAGAGAAGAGGCGGGCGATTTTGCGTAGAGAAGAGGCGGGGGATTTTGCGGAGAGATGAAATGGGCAGAGAAGAGGCGAAGAGAAGATGATGAGCTGGGAAGAAGTGCCCAGGAAAGAAAAGAAAGACGGATCCGGTTACTTTTATGTGTAGCCATATAATTCTCATATTTTTGTCCATCATAACCCCCTAATTATATTGGTGCCATTCTTTCTTTCATCTATCTGAGAGGACGGCCTCTTTTATGCAGGCCGGATGTTGTATTCCTTTACAAAGTTGCAATTTCACTTTTGTGAGCCTAACGTATTGGACGGCATCAAACAATCAAACAGCGGCACTAGATGCTGAATGTGCTAGATGGAACAATGATCAAAGCAAACTTTGCTTGGATTGTAATTCGTGCAAAGCAGGAGTACTCGTCGGCATCAGGAATAAATTGATAATTGCATGTATAGTTCTGGCTGTTTTCTATCTGTTAGCGTTTAGTGCTTGCATTATTTTTGTTTGTGTTATTTGGTTCTAGAAAATTTATGTGACGTGTCTCAAAAGTATCGGAACGGATGTTGAACATTTTTTTAATGGATCTCTTACTTTGGAAGAATAATGAATAATATACCCAAAAAGGATGACACCCCATCCCTGAGGGCCCCCCAACACCGACCGGACGGCACGAATGTAGAATTGAGTGCTACATATGTAATGAATAATATACCCCGTACTACATATGTAGTAGAATTGAGTGCTTCCCTGATATGATGTGTAATTAATCTTTATTAATCGTTGGTATCCACGTCATTTCTCTTTTCTTAGAAAACGTTAAATTTCCCTTAAACGGAAAGATAGCTCATCTCTTTTTCTCGAGAAGTTATGGCTATGTTTGGCTGACATAAGTCTATAACTTTTGGCTTTTGTACTATTTAAAAAGTCTCTAAAAGTCGTTAGTTGTTTGTTTGGCATGCCAATTTTTAAGAGCTTTTCAAAAAATAAAAGCTCTTTTTTGATATGCTACAGGTAGTAGCATCTGAGAAAAGTCTGTGACTTTTAGCTTTAATAAATCCTAACAGCTTGTATGCCAAACAGAACTAAATCAAACAGTCAGCTTTTTACCAAACAGCTACCACCTTTTACTTTTAAGATCTTTTCAGTCATTAAAAGCTAACCGTTACTAAAAAGCTCACAAAAAGATCTTTTCAGCTAATTGTACCAAACATAGCCTATATCTAGTTTAAATTTGAAAGATGCATGTCTATTAAATTATGAAGGGGGTGTATTTTTGCAAAATGTTTGGTTTTTTTTGTAGTAAAAGTTCGAATAACAAAACGGTCAATACTCCCTAAGCTACTAACTAAATAAACTAATAACTTTAAAATTGTTATATGCTCGTATATAATTTGGATCCAATGATAATATGATCTTAATAAAAAAGAGAAAGTTGTGCATTACTACTATCTCATCTTGCATGGGATGTAATATATATGCGGTTATTTGGAGTGTTAACATTTAAACACATTTATAAATAACATTATTATTTATCACAACAATTAGACGATGTTAAAGAAATAATTAAAAATTTTGAAGTTTAGTAAGCAGTTAAGCACACAGTTTAAGACTTCCTGTCCTTATAGACGATGTTTTCACAGTTTCTTTTTTATTTCATTTTTCGTTGGATATCACTGAGCTTTAAGCCAACCTATTTCAATTGATTAAGATTAAGTGAATCAATATATGAAAATGATTTTTTACCGCTTTATAGTCCTCCGATCGTTATGTAAGTGACACTTTTGATACTCAACTTTGAATTTTACTATTTTTAGTCCGTCGATTATTGTGCGAAAGACACTTTTAGTACCCGTTCTTGCATTTTTTCTCATATTTAGTCCTTTAATTTTAATAAAATAGCACTTTTGGTCATTCAACTATTATATTATCATATTGATATTTTTAATTCATCACTTATTGTGCCAAAATCATATAATGGAATGACTAAAAGTGTCAATTTCACAGTACTCAAATGACTAAGGGGTCATTTGGATGCTGACGTTTTCCCCCAATCCGCCAAAAAATTACAATCAAACAATCAAACACCACCTGCCGCCGCCGCCCTCATGGCCCGCCGTCAGCCGCGGTTCAGGAGCAAGATCGTCAGCCCCCCCCCATTAGCACCGATACCGGTACGCGGAAATGTGGAAACGCGGAAACGGGTACGGGGATACGTCAAAACCAAAAAAAGTAGGATACGGATACGGGGCCATATTTATAAATATTAAAAGTTATGGGGGTGTATTTACAAATATTAAAAGTTATAGGGGTCTATTTATAAATATTAAAAATAGATTATTTTTTTGAAAATATATATACACACACACACACACATAATATCCTATGATGTCTACTCATTCATTGCATTGAAGCATTTTCCTTTTTCAGGATATTTAGTAATAAATTCATAATATTTCTCATGTACACTAGTGCATCTAGAAATATAAATGTAGTCAATAAGTCATTAATTTAAAATGAGAAATAAGTCAAACAACTACAATCTTGAAATTAAAAGTGCAAGTACCCACTTCGAAGTATGAGTTAATGACTTAATTCGGATATAGTCATATAGGCCCATTATTTGATTACCAAGTAAAATGTAGTTTTAGGTTTTCATTTTTTTTAGAATTTTATTAAGTAAATTTTGGGATTTTTTTTTAAAGTTGATACGGGTATCCGTCAGGATACGAGTATCGGAAACATTCAAAAAATTACAAAAAAAAAAAATGGAAACTTTTAAAAATTACAGATACGGCCCGGGAACGTACGGTACGGGTATCCTAGAGTATCGGATATGGGAACGTATTCGATACGCCGATACGCTACCCTAGGGAAGCTATGTAACACCGATACCGGTACGCGGAAACGCGGAAACGCAGAAATGGGTACATGGATACGTCAAAACAAAAAAAAGTAGGATACGGATACGGGGCCATATTTATAAATATTAAAAGTTATGGGGGTGTATTTACAAATATTAAAAGTTATAGGGGTCTATTTATAAATATTAAAAATAGATTTTTTTGAATATATATATATATATATATATATATATATATATATGGAACTCTTCCAGTAAGGTATACCTTACCGGAGCCGCCGTGCGGCCTCCACGTTTTGAGGGTCTTCCCGGTGGAATTTTTTAATCATGTTCTTCATAAAGTCTAGTACATTCATACCAAATTTCAGCAAAAAATTCAATCGGGAAGGCAATCAAATGATTTTTGGAAGATAACTGCAACCTTTATATACATATAAAATGAAGTTATCTTCCAAAAATCGTTTGACTGCCTTCCCGATTGCATTTTTTAATGAAATTTGGTATGGATGTACTAGATTTGATGAAGAACATGTTCAAAAAATTTCATCGAAAAATTCCACCGGGAAGGCCCTCAAAACGTGGAGGCTGCATGACGGCTCCGGTAAGGTATACCTTACCGGAAGTTTTTCCTATATATATATATATATATATATATATATATATATATATAGGGATTGGTTCCTGTGAGAAAGGAGCTTCAGGAGAGGAAAAAAGAATGACATCTGACCATTCTTTCGTTAAATCGTGCGGCACGTAAATGATTGATATGAACTAAAAGCAGCATATGATTTGCACGTGCTAGCATATAATTTGGAGTCATACGTACTACAATAATGAGTAAAGGATAGTTAGGTAAAAGACTCCAAATTAATTGATGCGTGACTTGCACAAGTACTACATTGCTGCAAAGGAATCCTCCAACTTTGGATACTAATTAATGCGCAGTAACTTCCACTCACAATTAAATTTCTCATTTAAATTTCTTTGAAAATACAATATTCTCTCACATTTAATTTTGTTACTTATTCTTTCGGATACAATATTTCATGGCTTGTTTATTTGCACTCCAATATTGAATAATTGCACTTTTATTCAAAACTCTGCACAATCAAAGTTGAATGTTTATTTCGTTTTCCAAAATGAATAATATGTAGTATATTATAACTTTAACTTTGTTTTTTGTCAAAGCATCAATCTTGCTTGGACACTGTGTAATACTTATTTACGTATTCTTTAGATATCATATATATTCAGATTAAATCCTCCGACTAATAAATGAATCTAAAGAGAAATATTATTCTTATAACATTAACCTGCACACTCATGTATCATTAGCCTGCACATTTTATGATCTGCACTTCTTTCTTTGTAGTCGTTCACTTTCATATATTTTTAAATAAAGATGCAAATAAATATGCACGGGTGTAAACTAACAATTATCATGTGCATTTTAATATAAATACAAGTGCATTATTACATCACATTTTCTAAAATTTTACGTTAGCACTTTCTCACAAAATGAAATGCACATTTATCATGTGCATTTAAATATATCCCAAAGTGCGTGAATAAAGTATGATAAGTGCATCAAAGTTTAACAATATATTTTGATAAAATAGGGGTCAAAAGTGCATGAAAGTGGTCGTGCTGGTGCACTAATGGGGTCAAGGGCTTCATTAACAATGCAATATAGATAAATTTAAATAATTAATATTGTTACAAGTATATACACATTTATGTTCACATTTTTAATTAGTAATATTTTTTGGAAAACAATTCTGAATGCCTACAATAAATTACTTTGAATATAATATTCTAAAAATATTGTAGTGATAATCCATGGCACATGGTGATGTGAAATGCTTGATGAAGACATAGATATGTACGAAAAATATAAAAAACGAAAAAAAGAAGAAAGAGACAAGAATGGAATTAAATGATTGAATAAGACATCCAAGGAAAGTTGATATTTTTTCGGTGGATGTGGTTTAACCGTTTTAGGAATCGCCGTACACATAGAATTGGGGGAAAGAAATGACATCATTAACCTCCTAGAAGAGCAATCACACGGAAGAATTAAAACATGATCTAATGGTCCTTATTTATTCTTTTTTACTCTCCTAAGATTAAGTTCTCACATGAACCTAAATCTATATATATATATATACATCTATACATCTAATATTCTATGATGTCTACTCATTCATTGCATTGAAGCATTTTCCTTTTTCAAGATACTTAGTAATAAATTCAGAATATTTCTCATATACACTAGCGTATCTCGAAATATAAATGTACTCAATAAGTCTTTAATTTAAAATGAGAAATAAATCTAACAACTACAATCTTGAAATTAAAAGTGCAAGTACCCAATTCGGAGTATGAGTTAATGACTTAATTCGGATATAGTCATATAGGCCCATTATTTGATTACCAAGTAAAATGTAGTTTTAGATTTTCATTTTTTTAGAATTTTATTAAGTAAATTTTGGGATTTTTTTTTTAAAAAGAGTTGATACGGGTATCCGTCAGGATACGAGTATCGGAAACTTTCAAAAAATTACAAAAAAAAATGGAAACTTTTAAAAATTGCAGATACGGCCCGGAAACGTACGGTACGGGTATCCTAGAGTATCGGATACGGGAACGTATCGGATACGCCGATACGCTACCCTAGGGAAGTATCCGTGCTTCATAGTAGGGAAGTATCCGTGCTTCATAGGCTGCCTATGGTGATTGAATTTAGGGTTTGCGGGCATTGAAAATTGGCAGTGAACATGATAATAATTATGACAGTGAATACGACAATATATGTGTTGTACATGACAGTGAATGAATGCATTAAGGAACTTTGTTGTGCATTGAATATGCCCAATAGTGCAGTAA